TCTATAAAAAGTTCCTCTGTTTAAGTGATATATTTATCTATAAAAGTTTATTAAGATTGACGATTTTCTTGCTTTTATACAATTTTTCTTCAATTAAACACAAGTTCTTATGTTTAAGAGAGACATACCATAAGCTAAATAAAATAGAAAATCACCAGCTTCTGCATTTTAAATTAAGTATATTATGTCTGTATATATATTGCTCAAAAGAAATATGACATTAAAAAATTATAGGCAAAAATAGGTAAAGTATGAATGAACAAAACTTTGTGAAAAATCATCATACGAATATCTTTTTTTTTTTTAGTTTAGTCAAGAGTAAAATATCTGTAAGATTTCTAAGAAAGTATTGTTAGATTTTTGTTTTATAATATCCTGAATCCACTATTTCTCCAAAAATGTAAGCGTGATTTTTATAGTAAATTATTTTATTAAATTATTTTATAGTAAATTATTAATGGATTCCGCAAAATTTCTGCGAAATCCATAATACAAGCAAAATTTTTTTGTGAATTATAGGATTATAAAGATTAGTTTTTCTTCTTTTAATTAAAAAATAAAGAAATTATGTATATAATTTTTTTTGCAGAGATTCTCTCTCTCTCTCTTTCTCTTCCTAAAGTATCCATATATTTTCATCAGCTATTGTCGATATTGGAATTACCCAATATGCACCGCGAGTAAGTTGCCGGTCAGATTTTACATTTATGTGTGTGTATATATTAGATTATGTGTATATGTGTAAATTTACATAGGTATTAAGTGTGTAAAATTGAGTCTCAGGGTTTAATATCGAATTTTCCTCTCTCGATGTGTGATCACTTCTTCCAGCTGCTCGTGCATGTTGATGCAGGACTTTATTTTCTCTTCAGGAATCTCATTCCAGATTTAAATTAGCACTTCTTAGAATTTTTGTAGATTGGTTGATAGTCTTTCTAAATCTCTCAAATACCCGATATTAAACTCCAAAACTCAATTTTACTCTTTTAACCTACACAAATCTATACACATACGCATACATATACATTCACATATAATCTAATATATTATATACACACACAATGTGAAAAATCCGACTGAAATCTTCGCACAGTCCACATGAGGTAATGCCAATTGAATGATGAAAATGCACGGATAACTTTAAAATAGTGTGTCTTTGTAGGAAAATCATATGCACACTTTTTTTTTTTTATTGAAGGCAGAACATTAGTTTTATGATCCCGTAAATAAGATTTGCAAAAAAAGTTTGTCAGTTCTATGCTGCCGAAATACGTAGTTTTTACTATAAAAATTATATCCTTATTTTTGGAAGAATATTGGGGAGAAAATATTATAAAACAAAAGTTCAGTAATGATTTTCTAGTAAACACTTTATCCTTGAAACTATAAAGAGATATGTGATAATTTTTCACGCATTAATGTTCATTTAAATTTCACCTATTTTTGCTTATAATTTCTTGATGTCATTCTTTTGAGTAGTATATAAAAAATCAATTTTCTCGCAATTTAAAGTTAGTTTAAATCACATCATTAGAAAATCCTGAGTGATAGAAAAAATCTATTGCCATTTTTTATTTAGCGCAAAAAGTTCTGTATAGATTATATAATTTGATCCATGAGGCAAATTTTTTTTTAAGATTATTATAACCGGCATTATATGATACTACATCTAATTAACGCAAGAGTAATTTTCGTCAATTATTATGATCTAAACTATTAGAATATTTTCTACCAATTGCTAATTATTTATGCTTAGTTGCAAAACGATTTATACACATTTTTCTCAATAAAATTGCAGCGTTCGAAGTTGTTACAATTGAGAGACGCGAAAATAAAAATGTATACAAATTTTTTTGCAAGCGAGCATACCGATATATTGTATCAAAATAATATATCGTTCAAAATAATTGAGTATCTATTTCTATATTAAGTTATACATACAAAATATCAATATATGTGATCAATTGCATGTGAAAAAATCGGTTATATAGGAGAAATCTGGTCTATATAGATGGACTCAACATTGTCGCTTATGTATTTTTTTTTTAGTATTTATCTGAATAAAAACAATGGGTACACATACACAAAATCGCGAAGTGGTCCTTTTAGAACGTAGACATTTTTTCTCTGCGTTTGATTAAAATTGGAATAATTTAACAGTAAAAAAATGGGAAAAGTTGATTTAATAGTATCAAAGTAAATTTCCAAGCCTCTCGAGAAATTTTTTATTAACATTCTCCATCGTGAATGAATAAAGTAAGGCAACGTGTTACTAGCTAGAATGAAGTTTCTTGCAAGTGTATGATATACTATCTGGGATAATAAAGGGAATTTTCATTCATAAGATTCTTGTGATCGAGCATTTGGACGAGGTAGAGTTAGTTTATAATTAAGAGCCGGCAGGAGGGCTGTGAAGACTTCTTGCGAAGACTCCGAAACTACTAATCAAGATACATATTTTATATGTGGCCTTCTTCACTCTGCGCTATTGAGTCGCTGAACTTGATACACAGAGAGAACGATTTATTGAATTAAATAAATATTTCTTTGGAATAGTCTAAAAAAATTATTTGGTTGACACAACAAAAATATTTCTTTGGAACTAAGCCGCAAATAAATATTTTTGTTGCTTCAAATAAAATTTTGTTCGATTAATCGAAAAATTTGTTTGGACTATTCCAAAGAAGCGTTTATTTGATTCAACCAAATCGTTCTCTCTGTGTACCAAAGCAAGATATTGCTGCATGTTTATATTTTCGTTATTATAAAACAAAATATACGGTTAACAGAATTGTAGCGGATATTAATACATAGAAGAAAGTTGTCATGTTTCTACATTTAGTCACAACAATTAGTTGTCTGAGAAGTTGTAACTCTGAAATGCTGAAATATGGGGTATTTAGTCCCAATCTCCTTTGAAGAACCAATAAAATAAAGTAAAAGATACACACACTCCCGAATTACATTTCTTCACTATATGTTTGATATAATCTAATCATCATTTAAGTTTAATTTTATTAATTAAGATAATTTAATAATCATTTAATCAGTTAAATTTCCAATAAAAATTAAGTAATTTTACAGAGGTAGTTTCTTAAACCCTCGTCGAAAATAGTTCTAGTCTTTTAAAGGTGTTATCCTACTCTTTTAGTATCTCATCATTTTATTAAGAAACATCATATTTGTCATCATCATCATATTATTTAAGAAACTTTTATAGATACCAACGGTTTTGAAATATTTTGGTCAGTGTTAGGATCTTATCAATGTGATGTGTGAGGTAAGGTAAAATACCCAATTATTGATTCTTGTGCCTGTTTGTACCAACAACTGAATTAAACGTTGACCTAAGTTTAAACTCTGTTTAGACAAAAACAAACTCAGGCTAAGATTTAATCGACGTTGGTAGAAACGAGCATAAATCATTGGTATTTTAATGAAACCGGGTTTTTTTTACAATCAGCAGTCAAAAAACCAACGCTACAGTCAACGTTCTAATTACCACTTTAATTTTCAAGAAAATGTCTAAAAACTTTCGGCTTCGAGCCTGAGTGAAGCTCAGGCGACCTTTTTCTAAATTCGAAAGAAACGAGAAGAAATCTCGACGACGAGCCCGGCAAAAAGTTGCAGAATCTATTAAAACCCGAAGTGTCTCTAGAACGGATACTTCTTGTGAGAAAGGAAGTCTTTCATAGACAGTTGCGCGCGAACGTGCACGATGTCGTTCTGAGCTATTCGCGCTTCCACACGTGTTCCACGGCTTTATCGACGAGAATCCGTCTGAATGGTTTCACGAGAAGGAGAGAGACAGGGGGAGAAGCATCGAGGTATCACCAGTAGTTTGTCCTAAGTCGGATTAGCGCTTTCGAGTCGACCGCGAAGTGCACCGCGTTCCCGTTAATGAGAAACCAAGGTGGCGGCGCACCCTCGCGACAACGTCTGCGCCGTTAACAAAGCCATTTCCGACGTCAAAGCTGCACGCCCGTAAAAAGGTCGAACGTCTGTTAAACCGCAGTTACCTAGAGGAGCCCGGCTCGGCGGATCATTTGCAAAAGTGGACTGAATAATTTCGTTAGAGCTACTCTACGGTCGGCTGGCTGGCTGATTGTGTTCGTGACCCGCGTCGTTGCCGTTATTCAAATGGGAGATTAAGCGAGCTCCTCGACTTTGGGTTTAATCTTGCCCTCCTCTTTTCGCCGCGGCCTACGTTTGGCGTAACACTTTTTGCGCGGGCTTCCACTCGTACTCGTGAATATACCACGTGGGGTCGGTCGGTATTCACCCCGGCGTTCGCGCACCGAGGTCGCGTTTCATTCCCGCTAACCTCAGCCGCGAGAGCAGCCCGTCCGTTTGTCCAGACTTAAACAGAGCTATTCCCGACCCCTTTGTCATTCGCGTTTACGCGAATCGCTTTTTTCCCCATTCAAGGTGCCTCCCTCCGTGCCCAGCATACAATAAATTATGCTTATTCCCGTGTCCTGTATTCCCCGCAACGATGTGAACCTTCTATGAGACTCTGTCCCGTCTCCCTGTTTCAATTCGATTCCCTTCTCGCTCGGCGTCTTCGCACCTTTGCTTACTCCGCTCTTTATCGTGAGATGTAATTAACGACGTTAATTTAGTTGTTCCGTCTAGCAGGGAACTTTGTCGTACGACGTAATGAAATCTCAGACGGTCCCTTCGGACCTGCGGGCTCTCCTCTCTCACGTCTTTACTTTCTTCGCGGCCTTTCACCAAGCTTGACGTCGAGATTTTTTGTTGTTTCTTTCGGATTCAGGAGGGAATCGTAACTTCTTACGGGCCGATAGTTTCCGAAAGCTTCCGGCGAATATATCGCAAACTAAAATGACGATTTGAAAAATTCGTATTAGCAAGGCAGATTCGATTTTATAAAAAATGTCAAAGAATCTCCCAAAGAGTTTTGCCTAACTTTACGTAGATTTTGAACTATCTGCATAGAGATGATTGTGTGGGGTTTTAAATCATGAAGACTTAAAAACTTATCGTAATTAAGTACAGTTTTTTAATAGATAATAATAGAAATATTAAAAATTAAGTAGTTTTACAAAGATAGTTTCTTGAACCCTCGTCGAAAATATATAAATAATGTCTTTTAATGGTGATATCCTATTCGTTCAATGTCTCATCGTTTTATTAAGAAACATCATATTTTTCATCATCATATTATTTAAGAAACTTTTATAAATACCAACGGTTGTGAAACATCTACCGGTCGATATTAGGACCTTATCAGTGTGATGTATGAGGTAAGATAAAATACCCAATTATTGATTCCTCTTGTGTCTGTTTGTACCAACCACTGAATTAAACGTTGACTTTTAAACTCTGTTTAGACAAAGACAAACTTAGGTTAAGATTTAATCGATATTGGTAGAAACGAGCATAAATCATTGATATTCTAGTGAAACCGAGTTTTTTGCGATTAGAAGCAGTTGTGAAATCCTATTTTGATAACATACAGTGTAAAGAAAAGTTTAATTGCAATATTGATTGCAAGAAAAATCAAATTTTGTTCTAAAATGTCAATGATTAAAAGGATGTACATAATTGAATATTTATCTTATATTAATTTTTATACTCATATTTTCCCTTGCAGGATGCTTCCAATCAACTGATAGTCTTATATGGTTGGTAATTATTTTATATAAACTTCAGAGTATCAGCAGGCGTTAGAAAAATAGAATATTAAAGTCGGACGTAGCATCAAAATTTTGATTCGGAATATTTCTCAGATTCAATGCTTTGATGATGAATTCAGCTCTGATGATGAGTTACTGAACGAGTAGAATAACACCTTTAAAAGACTAAAACTATTCTCGACGAGGATTCAAGAACCTCTGTAAAACTACATAATTTTTAATGTTTCTATTATTATCTATAAAATAATAAATAACTCATGACTGCATTCGGATGGTACAAATAGATAAAATTCATTCTTAGAGTGAAATTTCACTCGTAAAGTGACTATTGTGTGACTAGAATCGAATTTTCACTCATATGAAGTAAATTTTCCACTCTGGATCGTCAAGAGAATATTTCTACTTGAAATTTAAAGAATAAATTTAATGTGTCGCACAATTACAGGAATAAATTTATTCTAATCGACTGAAATATTTACTTGTGTAAAGTCAGAATCCACTCTGAGTTTGAGTGAAGTATTCACTTTTACGATTCCGAGTAGTAGTGTTTTCAATTTTGAGTAAATCACTTGTTTAGAGCGAGATTTTACTCGAAATTTTAGCCTTACTTTCGACCTGAACTTTTTAACATTTATATGTTCTGAAGAATGAAAATATATTTAATACATATATGGAAACTAAAATCCTATTCAGCGTAAGAAACGCACAAAATGTCACTCATTGGTTTAAAAAAGGACTATGTTTCTCAACAAAGTTAATAGATCGAATAGAATCAACAGAAGTTGATATAAAATATTTAAATAGGCATTAAGTAAAATATTCACAGGTAGAGAAAGTAGGATTCAAATTTTGACTCAGACATTCTGAAAAAATATAGGAAGTGCTCTTGAATTCATAAATTCTATTCTATTGATAGAAATTCCACTAAATTCCTTCTATTTCTACTTCTATTTCCACTATATTTTCACGAGATAAATCTACTCTCGACATAGCCCGCCAGCGCGGGCGCATCGATTCGCTCCGAATCTCGACCTACGATCTGTATTTATTTGTTCGCCAATCCATCCGGGACGATTCGTCGTCCTCGTCGCGGTCGTCCCTGTCGCCTCGTGTCCTTTGCACTTTGCGAAGCGAGCGTCATTGTCCCTTCGGCTCGACCCTCTCACGATAGTTTACGGTCTCCGGGGTGAGTTTAACGACTCGCACGTCGATCTCCGTGGAGCGTCTCCCGTTTCTCGTTCCAGCCGACGAGCCAACCTGTGTGTGCCTCAACCCGGGAAAGGCCCTTCCTCGGTCATTAGTCTGGCCGACCCGAGATCTGAATCGCAAAAAGCGCGATACGCGCGGCGCCGGCCACGTTGTGTTTTACTCGCGCGACACGTGCGAGCGCTACACGTCGGCGAATTAATCCACGTCGCCGCAATCCCGAGATTAACCCCTTGAGTTCCCCAGAGCTGCGCTTTTTGGCCGTAAACTCCTGTAAAAATTATTTCAATATATTCAGCTTGCAAGAAAGAGGCGCGCGAGACAGTTCAGAGGTTCTCTCTTCTCTCTCGGGTTTTCTAATTTCTCAACAAATCGTAAATAAATTTCCCTTTTCGTTATCATGACGTCAATTTCGTCAATTTCGTATCGGCGTATATCAATCGGACTCTTGTTATTAATCGAACTACTACTGATACTAGCAGCGGTAATTACCACTGTTTGCAATAAGACAAAAATGATAAGAATGGCTTATACACTACAGAAATAGATATGGAATAATATATGTTATAATCATCTGATAATATGTAAGTGATAGTAATAATCACTAGTAGTAAATACTACTGTGTCCAAAAAGTATAAGACCAGTTTTTATTTATTTTAAAAAATATTTATTTATTCTGCCAAATCTATTTCGTCGCCTTCAAAGTAATCCCCTCCCGACACAATACACTTATGCCAACGTATTTTCCAGTCCTCGAAACAAGAATTAAAGTCGCCTTCCGGGATGGCTTTCAGAGCGCGTAGCGATTCACGTTGTATCTCTTCTATCGTCTCAAAACGATTTCCCCGCAGTGGTCTTTTGAGTTTCGGGAATAGCCAGAAGTCACACGGTGCTAAATCAGGCGAATACGGTGGTTGTGGAACGATATGGATCGAATTTTTGGCGAAAAAGTCACGAAGAACGAGTGCAGTAATTGAGATGTTTTGGCACTAGTCGAGATTTTACACGTTTCAGGCCCAAAATATCTTTCAAAATGGTATTGGCAGATCCTTTCGAAATACCAACAGCATCAGCAAGGTCTCTAACAGTCATTCGACGATTAGCAAGCACAAGTTCTTCGATTTTCTTGACGTGTTGTTCATCGGTAGAGGTTGATGGTCGTCCGGAACGCTCTTCGTCTTCAACACTTTCACGACCTTCTTTGAACTGTTTATACCACTTGTAAACATTCCTTTCCGAAAGCTTTCTGCAACATCCTAAACGTTTCTGCACCCGAAATTTCATTCCGTAAACAAAATTTAATGCAACTTCTTTGCTCAATATAATTAGACATTGTAAAAATCGCCGAATGCACTTTTAGCGTCGTACAAAACCAAGCGTAAAGCAAAAAGTAATGAATGTTTTGACATGAAATTTGTCACAGATGTCTGTCACAATGCTGCCAACTTAGAAAAAAAATATTTATGATGTGCGGTTTACCCGCGCGATTTAAATTGAAAACTGGTCTTACTTTTTGGACACAGTAGTACTCATAGTAAATGAATGTAAATTATAATCATTAGATAGTAAGCAAATGTGATTCATTAACGATAGATCTTTTTGTTACACGCCAGAGAACACAGCACAAAAACGCATTACTTCCTTCAATAATCCCGTAATATACGTAGAGCGTGTTACTTAGGGCCGATTGTCCCTTCTTTGTAAGCTACAATTAAGTCATGTGTCTGTCTCTGTCTAATTTGAAGAGAAAACGAACACAGACATATGATTTAACTGTCAGGTAGTTACCTGATAGTTTCAACTTTTTAGTAAGTTACCTGACTGTTTCAACTTCTTGGTAAGTTTACCAAGAAGTCGAAACAGTCGGCCCTTACACGTAGAAGGATATTCGGAACACACGCAGAAAACAACATTTGGACAATACTTTAGATATTGCAGCAAATAACAACGACAACACGTGACTCACTTCACAATCTCGATAACACACATTGCATTCGTTAACCTTAACGTAACTTCTAAAATGACGTTACAATTATACCCAGATCACCTTCATAATCTCTCGTGAGGACGTAGACCGGGTTGAGATGAACAGAAAAATTCCATACCGTTTTGCGATATTCTCAATAATAACCGAAAAATTAATTGTGAAAGATTAAGGAGAAACGCACGCTGAATGATTGAGGGAGGAGCACTCGCGGCCTAATAATATAACGCACGGATGTCACGGTGATTGGAAAAATAACGCATCAATGCCTATACTTATATTGTTGCACTTCTACATCTCACCTCGACGCGGTGCGGCAAGACGTAGGATCGTAGATAAGCCGCGCGGCTTATCTGCCTGCTATATTACTGAGTCGCGAGTGAAAGTGTTATTTCGACATGTATTTATACAACATATAAAGAGATGAAAAATATAATTTTGATGATCAAATACTCAATATAAGTGTTTGGTACATGCAGTTAAAATATATTTCGTTTTTCTTTTCAAGGTCGTCATTTTGCAGTAATATCTTGACTCTCGGCGGTTCAATTAAGCTGAATTTTAAGTAGAAAATTTCCGTAAGCTTGTCGTTATCGTGTGAACCACTATAATAAAAATTGAGTAAAAGTTAACAAAATTGCAAATATCTTAGTGGAATATTATTAAATTTTTAGTTCTTTTATAGTAAAAAAATTAATATTTCAAAATTATATATTTTCACAAGTTTGTCAATGGTCAATACGATAACGACAAGCTTACAGAAATTTTCTATCTAAAATTCAGCTTAATTAAACCACTGAGAGTCAAGATATTACTGCAAACGATCTTGAAAGAAAAAATGAAATATATTTTAACTGCATGTACACTTATATTGAATATTTGATCGTCAAAATTATATTTTTCTTCTCTTTATATGTTATATAAATAGACGTCAAAATAACACTTTCACATATTCATTCAGTTTGTCATAAAAAATTGTGAAAAAACAAACACGTTTTTCAGGCAATTGACCCTTTAATCCCCTTAATCATTCAGTGTGCGTTTTTCTTTAATCTTTTACAATTAATTTTTCGGTTATTATTGAGAATATCGCAAAACGGTATGAGACTTTTGTGTTCATCTCAATCCGCTCTACGTCCTCAAGAGAGATTGTAAAGATGATATGGGACATCCCATATATGGAATACTTTTAGCATTAATTTTTCTAGGCCTAGACCTGAATATATCAATATTCACGTTATACATCGATATTATACACATTCTACATTCATATTATACTGTTGTTTCCAATTGTCCGCTAGTATTTGTGTCATTACAATATATTTCGTAAACACTATAAGAATATATTATATAATTATAAATCACAAAAATATCGTCAGAGCCATTGGAATGATCGCCTGTCATTCGATTTTCCAAGTCAAACAACAATCGAACATATTCATATTCATAATAAGCAAGTATACGTGTTAAATATAAGAAAGAATATTTCTTTGGATTTAATCAATTTCGTTGAATTGAGAAATTTAATCATTGAAATGTAAAAAAAGTTGATGTTTGATAAGAAGAAATGTGACTGCTGGCGATCGAAGTTCCATTTTTTTTTAAACATGTTCGATTTTCCAAGTTAAACATGTTTAAAAAAAAATGGAACTTCGATCGCCAGTCACATTTCTTATGATCGAACATTAACTTTTTTTACATTTCAATGATCAGATTTCTCAATTCAACGAAATTGATTAAATCCAAAGAAATATTCTTTCTTATATTTAACACGTATACTTGCTTATTATAAGCGTGTTGGTTTTGCGTGTGTTAATTAAAATTGCCAGTATAGTGTGTTAAAAATGGAGACATGTTTAACATGCTTCAAGCGTTGTTTTAACACACACTTCGTTTCGCAGTGAAGTTCGATCGATTCGCCTTGTATATTCGCGCGAGGAAAGCGCGAGAGTCCATCTGGTAATTTTAAATGCCGGACACACGCACCCGCCATACGTGCCCCGCTTCTCCGATCAGTCGGTCTTGTCGCGTTCGAACGGGTCGAAGGATAGGATCCTCCACGGTGTGTCCTGGGCCACGTCCCGGGAGAAATCTTATCGGATATCTATGCCAAGGTGTCTACCAACGTCTGCTCTTGAATGGATCCCCGGAGTAGCGGCGACGGGGTAGCCTCGACTTCTTCTTCGCGAATCGGGGAGATTCTCCAGGTCCCCCGTGCGTCCCCCGATTCCCTTAACTTCCTCGGAAAACCCGGTCGCGACGGAGCCTCCTTACCTCACCTCATCTCTTCCGGTTCTGCCACCTCTCGCGAGATCCCGAGACGCAATCTTGGATTAAGGTTCTCGTCGCATACACGTGTACCTCCCGCGCCACTTGGAGTTCACACGTGTTCGCGCATTCGCGTCCACCGGAGTGAGAGGTAGGGATACTCGCACGTTGCGCACACAAGGTGCGTCCCGGAAGTCGTTTCTTTGGTCGACGAAAGGTTTCTGCGACGAATTCGGAGTGGATATCTTCTTCCTCTCGGCGTACCTCCGCCTGAAAATTCTGTCGTGACAGATTTTTTCCTCAATAAACTATTTCATTTTTTATATTAGACATGTCGCGTTTGTTTTCGAATTGAAAGGCATGGAAGTGAATACGAGACAACGTCGATTGCATTCAAACGAAGAAAAAGGCAGAAACATGCGAAGAAAATTCTAACTTCAGAGAGTTTGCGATAATCTATTAAAGCAAGGATAAATAATTTTTACTAATTCAAGTAATATCTCATAAAAAGTGGTGGTATCCATGTCAAAGGATAATGATCTTGCTCTCACTATACTTTGCGCGTGAATGACTACTCGTATAAGAAATTGCTTAGAATCTTATTGGAATCTTATTCGATTCCCCAAAAATAATTATAGGTTGTTTTGGTATGGAAATTTTCAAATATAGCATAAATTCTGATCACATACGTGTTTTAAATAAGTATATCGTATCGTAATATCAATTAGGAACTTTATTCGTACCTCAATTATTGAAAATTTTTTGAGATCTAATTGGTCTCTGTTCCGATTGTCTAAATAATTGGAGTTGCAATTTTAAGTGGAAAACCTTAAAACGCAGAAGAAAATTTGCGCAAAAAAAGTAAAAAGAAGTGAGGAAACAAAAAAAATAACAAAATAATAATCAGTATTTTCGTAATCATGATATAAAAAAATAAAAGTTTGTTTCTTCTAAAATACAGGCTATTGTACGACTATTCTTACAACTGTTCTTACCGACTATTAATAGTAAACAATTACAATACACTCGAATATTTAATATAATTAATATTAAATGAATAATATTTAATATTTAATATTGAATATTTAATTTGATATTAAAGTTTTATATTTAAAATAAAAATATAAGATCTATTGTTTTATTAAAGATATTTATAACTTATTTAAAAAAGAGTTTGAGTAAAATACTTGTAAAACAGTGTGTGAGTATTTATGCTTTTTTAATATTTCAGATACTTAAGTACAGATAATTTTTTTCAATTTCATTTAAATTAGATATTTTATTTAATATCAATATAATATAGAAATACGAAAAATGAACATATTGAAGAAACATTTAATAAGAGAAATGAGATTTGTTAGAATTTTATACTTCGAATCACATTTTTTAAGTGTTACACTTCTAATCTTCGTAAATATTTTCTATCTCAATCAGAATCGATCACTTTTTTTTTAGAAAATCAGAACGTATTGCAATTAGATTCCAAAAAATTTTCTATGTGGGGTCAGAAGTATAATGTTTGAAACATAAGATTGTAGTGGAAAACCCAAAGTTTTCTTAATATTGTGGATTTTCAGTTTGTTATTATAAACGTTATAGACGTATATAAACGTATATAGATCAATTTTATCAATATATTTATCAATTGAAAAAAGCGCAAGTTTACATAATATTCTTTTTTTAATTCTAAATAGAAAACAATATTCAGGACAAGAATGGAATTTCCAATTGCTATCGTAGTGGAATAATGAAGGACCTAAAATTAAAAAATATGACAAAATTATATGATTGCAATAATTTCTATTCGTCAAGAGGATTGGAAAATGTAACATTGAAAACAACGCGCTTTTAAAGTCATGTAACTGCGCTTTTTGAATGAAACAACTACAAAACTATTCGATATAATGCATTTTAATAATTGTATTATGATATCTATTTTATATTTGAGTCAATTTATTTTATATTTGAGTCATTTCCAGCCAAAATTTAAAAAATCAATTTTTTAGATTTTTGAACTTTCAGTCCAATTTTTACTATGACAATTACGTTTCCCTAAGTATAATACTTTTTTTAATTCTTTTGATAAATATATTTATTGTGATCATAAAATTTTGATCACATTTTTTAACAAATTTCAGTAAATGTCTTTTGGGACATATTTGAACATTATAATCAAAATTTATTTTATATCTGGAAAAACCTTAAAAAATTGTTATGCAGATAGTGAAGGTACATAGATAGATGATAATTATTTGCTCTAAAAGCAGAGAAGGAGAGCTTAGGGCTTTCAATATGAGTTCAAGTTACTCACGCTGTTGCTTAGGACTTAAAGTACTTGGACACAACACTACAGAGACTTAAAATACTTGGACACAACACTACAGAGGTTTCCAGATGCGTTTGTTTATAAGTTTCGCGCGCGCGGATCGAAACGCATGCGTTGAAGCGCCGTACCGATAGGCAGATTGCTTGTTATAAACACGCAATTGGTTTTCAAACTCGTTATTAAAGCGTGCGCGCGCGATTTTCCCTTCCAACAATTTTAAATTCAACTTCACCCGCCGCCATCGCCGCCGCCGTTGCTCGTAAAGGATGATTGGTTTGAAAGCGTTCCGAAATATCTCCATATCGACGAGATGGAAATATCGGCGCCAGTTTGGAAAAGTAAATAAAAGTATTGACATCGACCGTGGCTAATTGCGACAATTCCTCGACCGCGCAAATTACCGCGTCGCGGCAAAACCGCGCGTGTAATTATCGTCGCGCGAGCGTGCGTGATATTTAGACGGGGCCCCCGGCGGGAAATATCAGCGAATAATCGCGATATTGCCGCGATTTGTTATCTCGTCGATTTATGATATCGCGAAATTTCTCCACGCGAGCGACGGGCACAGAGAGGGAGGGGAATGGAGAGGGAAAGGGGGCGCACGACTCTCGAATAACTCGCCGTTGGCGCTTGTTAAATGAGTGATTTCCTTTAATGGACTGCGCTGTAATTTGTTTACCCCGGCTACCGCGATCTCTCTCCGCGCGAGGCTAACACTCAGCGAATTAAGAGGAATTGGTGGCTGCGCACACGCCGACAGACGTGACGGGAAATTGCACGATAAGCGGCGGCTCAATCGGGAAAATTTGACAACACTTGATGTTGCACTTACGTACCTACGTATCGTTTCGCTTTATCTCTGATAAAACTGCCGTGCAACGGACAGATGCAACGTCGAAGTATGACTTTACCACCTGTAAACTTGCCCAACACAGCGCGACGACAAACAAAAAAAGACAACAAAACACGTTAGATTTATTTTTGTTCCTTCTTTTTTTGCACACCCGTCCTCTCTTGTCAAAATTGAAGGGAAAAGGTTTGTGAATATTTGAGCGGTGCCGAACGCGAAGCTAGCGCTTTTTTCACTTTTCATATGGGTGTTGTTGGAAAAAAAATTTCTCGCGCGTGCAGATTAGAGTGAATCGCTCGCTGTTTTTGTTTCGAAATTAAACCAGTGATATTAAATGTAACTCCCCGCTCCCCACTTTCCCTGCACTTTCAACCGGAATTAATATGCAAACCGAGCACACAAAGCAAATTTCGGGACATACGAGTCTTATCAAATTAAACAATTTGACGAAAACAGTTTAATAAATAAAAGCATAAGTTATCAAAAAAAAATTATTTATGTAACGAAGGCCAACGGTAAATTATTTTTTCTCCGATACACTCTCTCTCTTGAGTATAAAAATAGGGAAAATATACTTTCTTCCTCTCATATTATATGGCCCGGATATTTTTTTCCGGAGAGTCGGAGATTTTGTGTTTTGTCCGAAAACTCCGGACGAAAACCAGAGAGGTGGCTGGCAACCGTGAAGTTGCGACTAGATTCATACTGCTTGTAACTGTCAAAGAGACGTTGTTCTATCGCACTTATGTGTATAAGAAGAGATTTGCGCGTCTTAAAAGAAATATCTAAGTCAGGGCTCGAAACGGTTTGCCAATTTTGCAAACCTCGGGATTCTCGGGAGCTACGCCAATCTCCCCTTACTGCGCAGCGGGCCCAAAAACTGACGCTCGCGGCTCCTAGCTCAGGGCCTTTGGGATCATAAAACGCGCATGTGGTACCAAACAATGCATTCGGGAAGCGCGCTGATCAGCCGATTCGAAAAATGACCTCTACAATATTTTTTCACTTTTATCTGTTCTACTTATATTTTTCTTTTTGGACGTCTTATGAGGGACACCCTGTATATATATGTAATATATTTGATTCTATTTATATTTGTATTAAAGAAGTTACTTTCTTTTTAGTTATATAAATTAAAAGTTTATGATATTTGTTTAACAATTATTGATAAATATTAAAATAAGCTTACATAAATTTTATATTTTTGTTATAAATCCGCATTCACTGGTTAGTTGTTTTGCAATATTTTATATATGTTATATATGTTATATTTTATATATTTTATATATGTTATATTATAAACTTAAACACATTATAAATGTTTTATACAGAAATGCATTACATATAATTTTCTTTTAAATTACCTGACAAAATGTACAATATAAAACTACAACATAACACAAACTAAACAATGAATAAACTATGTGTTTGTATTAAATTTATTATATTTTCTATTTTATTGTTAACAGACACATTGTTTAGGCATTATTTGGGCATTACTAGGCATTAATGGATATTACTAGGCATTTAGAGGGCATTACTAGACATTAATAGGCATTACTAGAAATTAGTGGGCATTGGGTAAACAATTTGGCAGTAATACCCAGAAATTGGACATTAGTAGGCATTGGTGATATGACTTTGTTAAGAGGTTTACTCCTAGGTCGGATCCATTCTAATATAATTTGGTTCAATTTATAGACTACATTAATATTCGTAAACTATTATAATTCTATCGCCTGCACCAGTTGTTTGCAATAACAGTGCAACCGTAAAGGGCCTTTATTAAAGTTAAACTTTTTCTCTCGAGTCTCTTTTTGTTGTCCCTGTTACCAGTAACGCAACTCTACTTAGCACGCCGTGGGAAACGTCGTCCACCTTACTCTCTTTACTCTCTACTCTCTACAAGCACTATAGCCAAACACTGAATAAGTAACTTGGTTAACCGTTCGCGGAAGTCTCAAGTAAAGGTGCAGAAGCATCGTGGTTCTCAACTCCCTCTGCTCTTAGCAATCTTAATTGGTATAACGTTCTCTATAATAACCCCAAAGAGTTGTACGTTATAGCATCTACCGATCCACCTATCTACCGAATAAATCCACC